AACAAGTGGAGGTCGCTTGCGGCCCTGGCAGTTGAAACCGCTGAGGCTCGCGAGGTCCACCACCACTGTGTTCTGCTGGGATATGGTGCCGATGCCATCAACCCTTACCTGGCTCTGGAATGTATTCTCAAGATGAATCGGGAAAACTTGATCCGCAAGGACATCTCCGATGAGAAGGTTGTTCAGAACTACAAGTCCTCCTGTGATGGTGGTATCCTCAAGGTCATGAGTAAGATGGGTATCTCTACTCTCCAGTCCTACAAGGGTGCCCAGATTTTCGAAGCCCTTGGCATTGACGACAGCGTTATCGATCGTTGCTTCTCCGGTACTGCCAGTCGCATCCGTGGTATCACCTTTGATCTGATTGCCCAGGATGCTTTCGCCTTCCATGAGCGCGGTTATCCTTCGCGTCCGATTGTCGAAGTCCCCGGTCTGCCTGAATCCGGCGAGTACCACTGGCGTGATGGAGGAGAGGCCCATATCAACGATCCCACCAGTATTGCAAACGTGCAGGATGCCGTTCGCACCAAGAACGACAAGTCCTACGAGGCCTACGCCAAGTCCGCACATGAGCAGATCAAGAACTGTACTTTGCGTGGAATGCTGGACTTCGATTTTGACCAGCGTACGCCTATTCCCATTGACCAGGTTGAGCCTTGGACCGAAATTGTCCGCCGCTTCGTGACCGGTGCCATGTCCTACGGATCCATCTCCATGGAATCCCACTCTACACTTGCCATTGCCATGAATCGCCTGGGCGGCAAGTCGAACACTGGCGAGGGTGGTGAAGATGCCGAGCGTAGCAAGAGGATGGAGAACGGCGACACGATGCGGTCCGCCATCAAGCAGATTGCTTCTGGTCGTTTCGGTGTGACATCCAACTACCTCGCCGACGCTGATGAACTGCAGATCAAGATGGCCCAGGGTGCCAAGCCCGGTGAGGGTGGTGAATTACCCGGCCACAAGGTTGTCGGCCCCATTGCTCGCACTCGATTCTCCACCCCAGGAGTCGGTCTTATCTCCCCGCCTCCGCACCACGACATCTACTCCATTGAAGATCTGAAGCAGCTTATCTACGATCTCAAGTGCTCTAACCCCCGATCTCGTGTTTCCGTTAAGCTGGTATCCGAGGTTGGTGTTGGTATTGTCGCTTCTGGTGTGGCCAAGGCCAAGGCTGATCACATCTTGATCTCTGGTCATGATGGTGGCACCGGTGCCTCACGCTGGACCGGTATCAAGTATGCCGGTCTTCCTTGGGAACTGGGTCTTGCAGAGACTCATCAAACTCTGGTTTTGAACGATCTTCGTGGTCGTGTTGTGGTCCAGACTGATGGCCAAATTCGTACCGGCCGTGACCTTGCCATCGCCTGTCTGCTCGGAGCGGAAGAATATGGGTTTGCCACAACCCCTCTGATTGCATTGGGATGCATTATGATGAGAGTGAGTACATTCATCTCTTGATTTCCTGATGAGACCGGCCTATTGACAAATATATTTTCCCTAGAAATGTCACCTGAATACCTGCCCTGTTGGTATCGCGACTCAGGATCCCGAACTGAGGCAGAAATTCAAGGGTACACCGGAGCATGTTATTAACTTCTTCTACTATGTTGCCAACGAGATGCGTGCTATCATGGCCAGGCTGGGCATTCGTTCGGTCAACGAGATGGTCGGTCGTGCTGAGCTGCTTAAGGTCCGGGACGATATTCGTAATGTTAAGCAGGAACGGATTGACCTATCACTCATCCTGACCCCGGCTCACTCACTTCGCCCTGGAGTAGCTACCTACAATGTTCGCAAGCAAGATCACCGCCTTCACACCCGCTTGGACAACAAGTTGATTGCTGAATCGGAGCTCGCTCTTGAGAAGGGTCTACCCTGCCGAATTGAATGCGATATCGTTAATACTGACCGTGCTCTGGGTGCTACTCTCTCCTATCAGATCAGCAGACGTTATGGCGAAGCTGGTCTTCCTCAGGATACCATCCACGCGAACATTAAGGGCTCTGCTGGTCAGTCCTTTGGTGCCTTCCTCGCCCCCGGTGTCACCCTTGAGCTTGAAGGTGATGCCAACGACTATGTTGGCAAGGGTCTCTCTGGTGGCCGCCTCATCATCTACCCCTCGCGTGGGGCCGCTTTCAAGGCCGAAGAAAACGTCATCGTCGGTAACACTTGTCTTTACGGTGCCACCCGCGGAACTTGCTACTTCCGTGGCATGGCCGCCGAGCGTTTTGCTGTCCGTAACTCTGGTGCCACTGTCGTCGTTGAGGGAGTTGGTGACCACGGATGTGAGTACATGACTGGCGGTCGTGTACTGAACCTCGGACCCACTGGCCGCAACTTCGCTGCTGGTATGTCTGGTGGTATTGCCTACGTCCTGGATAAGAACCAGGACTTCCATTCCAAAGTCAACTTGGAGATGGTTGAAATCTCTAGTATCGAGGACCCATCGGAGATTGCCTTTGTTCGCGGTTTGGTTGAAGACCACCATCATTACACTGGCTCTGAGTTGGCTGCTCGCATCCTGCTCGACTTTACTCGTGCTCTCCCCCACTTCGTCAAGGTTCTGCCAACCGACTACAAGCGCGTCATGGAGGAAGAGGCTGCCAAGGCGGAGGCTGCGAAGAAAGCTGAATTCACTCTTCCTCAGCTTCCCAGTATCCCTGTTAAAGCCGAGAGGGCCAAGGCCGATGATTCCAAGAAGACTGACTTGCTGGACATTGAAGACAGCATTATCGACTCGAAGGCTGAGAAAAAGCGATCCGCCTTGATCTTGGACAAAACAAGAGGTTTCATGAAGTACAGCCGCCGCAGTGAGAAGTATCGCAACGCAACAACCCGTACTCGTGACTGGGGCGAGATCTCCCACCGCCTCAGTGAGGACGAGCTCAAGTACCAGTCTGCCCGTTGTATGGACTGTGGTGTTCCATTCTGCCAGTCGGACACTGGCTGCCCTATTTCCAACATCATTCCTAAGTGGACAGAATTGGTTTTTGCGAACCAGTGGCAGGATGCTTTGAACCGTCTGCTCATGACCAACAACTTCCCCGAGTTCACCGGGCGTGTCTGCCCTGCACCCTGCGAAGGATCCTGTGTTCTAGGTATTAACGAAGACCCCGTTGGTATCAAATCCATCGAGTGCGCGATCATTGACCGTGGATTCGAGATGGGCTGGATGGTTCCCTGCCCCCCCTAAGGCCCGCTCTGGCAAGACCGTTGCTATCATCGGCTCTGGGCCTGCGGGCTTGGCTGCTGCTGATCAGCTTAACCGCGCTGGTCACAGCGTCACCGTTTATGAGCGTGCCGACAGAATGGGTGGTCTTCTCATGTATGGTATCCCCAACATGAAGCTTGACAAGAAGATTGTCCAGCGCCGTATCGACCTCATGGCCGCTGAAGGTATCAAGTTCGTTGCGGGCACTGCTGTGGGCCCTGACTGTGAGGTTTCTCTGCAGTCTCTTCGTGCCACCAATGATGCTGTTATTGTTGCCACTGGTGCCACTGTTGCGCGTGATCTCAAGGTCACTGGTCGTGAATTGGATGGCGTGCACTTTGCCATGCAGTTCTTGCATAAGAACACCAAGTCCCTCCTCGACTCTGGTCTTTCGGATGGCGAATACATCTCTGCCAAGGACAAGCACGTCGTCGTCATTGGTGGTGGTGATACCGGCAACGATTGTATTGGTACCTCTGTCCGCCATGGTGCCAAATCGGTGACCAACTTCGAGTTGTTGCCCCAGCCTCCCCCAGAGCGTGCCCGTGACAATCCCTGGCCTCAGTGGCCCCGTATCTACCGTGTCGATTATGGTCACACCGAGGTCAAGACGCACATGGGCAAGGACCCACGCGAGTACTGTGTCATGTCGACCGAGTTCGTCGACGATGGCAACAACCGCGTCAAGGGTATCAACACTGTCCGGGTTGAATGGACCAAGAGCGCTACCGGCGGCTGGGACATGAAGACCATCGAGGGTAGCGAGCAATTCTTCCCCGCTGACCTTGTGCTCCTCTCTATGGGATTCTTGGGTCCCGAGGATCGTGTATTTGGCGATGAGATTGAGCTTGATCCTCGCAAGAACATCAAGACCCCTCCCGGCCACTACTCGACCAACATTCCCGGTGTCTATGCCGCAGGTGACTGCCGCCGTGGACAGTCTTTGATTGTCTGGTGAGTTTTCGTCCAATTCTTATAGTTAGCAATTCACTAATATAATTCCAGGGGTATCAATGAAGGTCGCCAGTGTGCTCGCGAAGTGGACACTTTCCTCAGCGGAACCAGCTCCCAGCTCCCAGTCACGGGTGGTATCGTCCGTCGCCCTGCCATCGACTCCGTTCCCCAACCCACTGAGGTTGCTGCTTAATCTAGCGGCGATGCAGGACATGTTTTACGACCTTGACGGCCATTATCATGATAAAAGTTTCATTTCGATGCGGGAAAGTTCATCAAATGGGATAAACTTGTGTGGCATATACAGGATTCCATGAGGTTGGTTCTCCGCGCGAATGAAAAAGTTTACAATACTGCGCTTTCTTGAGTTTTGCTTTCTACTTTCCATTTTTATTTCTTTGATTTTCATCTTATGTTTTGCTTCAGCGTCATTTTTCTTTGCCTTTTCAGGGTCTGCAAGGTGTTTAGAGCGGCTGCCATTCGGTGATCTCTCTATTTCTGCTGTACATAGCTTTTCTTTTTTCTGCAAATCTGACTATGTTCCATCATTATCTCAAATTCGTCTATAAGGCCGAATGCCTCGTTTTCTTTGAGTATCTTTTATGTCTTTGTGTGAAAGAACGAAGGACAAAGAGCTGAAGAGTCAACAATGTCTTTATGCTTCTTTCTTTGGCAACTTCCCCTTGTTAGACTCTGCATGGCCGGCTTTGATGGCTAACCTATATAACCGCCCAAATATCCCTTGCTTTTTCGGACCATTCCATTCCATTCATTCATTTCAACTAATCCAGCTTACCTATTTCACAGATTTACAGGTCCTATCATCTCAAACATGGGCAACGAAGCCAATAAGACAGCCGCGGCTGCGAACGATCTCAATCCCAACGGCTTCATCACTGACCGCGAGGTCGACGGCGAGCGGCGTTCCGTCCGCCGGTATAACGATGGTCGAGTATCTGCGCGCGGTAGGAGTATCGAGGGTACCCGCCAGGGCTCCCGGAAGAACTCCACAGGGACCGGCGGTCGCGCCAGGCCTCCCACCTCCCACCCCAGGGATCTGGGCAGTCGATCTACTCCTGCTGCGTCCGGTCCATCCGATGTCGCTGATATCACTGCTGCCATGGCCAAGCTCACTGTTGACCATCCCACTAGCCCTAAGGTAAAGAGACTCAGCAAGAAGTTGAACCTCGATGCCGACCCGGGGATTGAAACTGTGACCCTGCAAAACGTCACTCCTTCACCTACGCCTAGTGTGGCTTCCTCTACGTGCAGCACGGGCAGCAAGAGTTCTGTCAATGCTAGGATAGCGGAAATTGAAGATCGAGTAAGGAAGCACATCAAGTCACGACTCCAGTCTATCAAGGAGGAAGATGAAGAGTAATAAAAGAATGAAGTTTGGAATGGGCTAGAGAATCGGAGAACATCAGTTAGCTGTCTTCCATTGAATTGCTGGATGCTAACTTCTTAAATCATTCCTAACAATAGGTCTTACAGGCTTGCTTCGCAGTTGAGCTTTTTATATGCACGGCTACTTACAGCTTCCCAGTCTATGCCCAATGCCATGAATGGATATGAGGTAGGCATGTTTTAAGTTCCCTCTTTTGATATCCTGAAACATGTCTCTTGTGTCTACGGGCTTGGGGATCTTTGCTAACTCTTCTGGCTTTTAGGTCGTTCATTTATGCATTCTTCAAGCATCTCTTGTGGAGTTTTGAGTCAATCAATCTATTTCAGCATCATTCCCTCCCTCCAGTAGAATTTTATAGATCGTGGGACATAGTTGTAAAACCCATGTGAAGTCAGATTTGAAAAATTCTGAGCATATAAGACCATAACGTGTAAAAGAAATAGCCTCTAAAGTGCTATATGCGAATTCGCGGAGTCCTCCATACGACCATCGAACAAACGCCGATACACAGGGGAAATGGAGAGTATCATATTATACAAGAATAAATGGAACAAGAGGGTGTATATCTACATATCGTAACAAGAAGAGGAGAAACAGGGGACATCATGAAACCGCCTTTTCCGCCTGTTGTTTCGCTCCTTCATCTTCAGCCTTCATCTCCTCCCACATTGCGGCAAAATCTCCCTTGAACGAGTCTTTGGCTGGATCTAGCCGCACGTCCCAGACATCCTCACTGCTGGGGCCTGTCTTGTACTTAATCGCCTTCTTCCGGTTGTGGTCTCGGATCTCTCTCCTGCGCAAATCTTCTGGCCAAGTTCGTGTCTTCATGCACAGCCATAGATTATCCCAGTGATCGCTGCATGACCGTAGTTCTCCATATCGATAAACATTCACAAATTGGCCTCCGAAAGACTGGCAAAAGAAGGCGTAATCGAAGGCATTGCGGCAGGACATGGTATCTTGGTAGAGGGACTCGGGAGAGATGGGTGATGAAGGTGTTTGGGATTCCGGCGACGGATTGCCATTAGGGGTCAGCCCTGTTCGTTTTGAGAGCGACGCATCCTCAGATCTGAGATCTGCCAGGATTTGGTTGAATTCCAAGTCGGCTTGTTCGTCGGGGGTCAAGGTCTTTGATGGTGCATTCTGCTTTGCTGGTTCCGTAGGAGATGTGGATGGAGTATCCTTGGAGATCTCCTTGGGAGCTTCCTTGGGACCTGATCCCCACAGCCAGCCCATTGTTTTGCGAGAGGAAAGAATTGGTGGATCTACCGCAACACCTTGAAATCGCGAGGTTATCTTTTTCGTGGTAATCAAGATGTCATGTGACTTAGATAACCAGTCACGAACCGACGTCATTAATTTGGCAAGTCAATTTACATAACTTGACTTGATCGTTCTTCCAGGCTGGTTCTTTTTTCTTTTTCCATTAGGTATGTGTACGTGAGCAGAATGAGATCGACACCCGTATCAAAAGGTCCGTTGGCCCTTTGGTCTCCAGCACGCTCTCATATCAGCACCAATGGGTCCCGGGGTGGAGACCTCCGCTTTGGGGACGCTCGACGATACGATGCACATCTTCTATCAGGTCGGGACATATTTCAGTAGGAGAAAATGAAGGGATTATCTATGTCAATAGTGAGCGCCAATTGATTATAAGCTATCATGTCTACTAACTAGCTCTATAGATATATTTCCGCACCGGTTACAATGGCTGCTGCGGGGTCCTCTCAGCCATATTCAGCCTCTCGAGGGGTTTTTGGCGCGAGTGAACAACCCAGAACTAGCGGCAGCTGACCCGACTCGTATTGTTCAACAAGCTTTTCCAAGAGACCTCAGGGTCTGGAGATCAAAGAGGTCGTGACGAGGTACAAAGAGGGAGGTGCATTCGTGAAGTATGCGCTTAAGTCGGACATCAGCAACGAAATTATCCAAAATGCAATCAAGGAGCATTTGAAAACCAACCCCATTAAGCCCTGGTTTAACCCGACCCTGAAAGTCGATGCAGACCTTGTTCGCGGAACGCCGTGGATCGAAGACCTCTATCGAATCCCAAGCCAGACCCTAAAGGTGGAATTCTTGCCAACGTCCCCAGATAACTCAGCGGCGGAATTAACTCAAGAGTCCCTATACTCACTGTTCCGGCCTTACGGCAAGCTTCTGGACATCCAAACACAGCCCTCAGATTCGAAGGTCGAACCACGCTATGCAATTCTGCGATTTGAGCGCCCTCGGTTCGCCGTGATGGCAAGAAACTGCATGCATGGATTTATTGTTTCTGAAGAAGCAGGTGGTGGCCATTCCGGTACAAGGTTCAAGATCAACTACGAGCGCAAGATCAAGCTGTTTATGATCAAGGACTGGATTTTGAACCATCCGAGACTGGTGATTCCCGCTATAGCTGCTCTGATAGCCACTATTACGGTCATCATCTTCGATCCAATTCGCACGTTCTTCGTCACCCTCAAAATCAAGTCATCGTTCCAAAGTGAAGAGAACCCTGTGCTGCAGTGGGTTCGCAAACAAGCCAGCAAAGCGAGCATGTTCCCATTTGGGAAGCGAAAGTCGGACCCGCGAGGTCTAGCGGCTATCTGGGAAGACCGAAAAACAGAGATTGCGCAACTGCGAGCCTGGTTAACGGAGACTGCGGAAACCTTCATTGTTATCCACGGTCCCCAGGGCTCAGGGAAACGCGAGTTGGTTCTAGAGCAAGCTCTGAAAGAGCACAAGTATAAAGTCATCATTGATTGTAAGCAAATTCAAGATGCTCGGGGTGATACAGCCAAGATTTCACGAGCCGCCGCTCAGGTCGGCTACCGACCGATCTTCTCTTGGATGAACAGCATCAGCAGCTTCATTGACCTTGCTGCACAGGGAATGATTGGCACTAAAGCTGGCTTCTCCGAGACGCTAGATGCACAGTTGAGCAAGATCTGGCAGAATACTGGTGTCGCCATGAAGCGAGTCGCCTTGGAAGGTAGACGAAAGGAGGACAAAGATTTCAACATGTCCGAAGATGAATACCTGGAGGCTCATCCCGAGACGAGACCTGTCGTAGTAATTGAAAATTATCTCTATGACGCGGAAGACAGTGTCGTGCTCGACAAACTTACTGAATGGGCGGCTGGTTTGACATCGGCAAACATCGCCCATGTCATCTTTTTGACGACTGATGCCTCTTTTGCAAAGCCATTGAGCAAAGCCATGCCTAATCAAGTGTTCCGCACAATTGCCTTGGGTGACTGCTCGCTCGAAGTTGGTCGTCGTTTCGTATTGAGTCATCTAGATGCAGAGGCAGGCGATGACGATGAACAGAATGCAAGGCGCAAAGAGACGCTTCGTGGTTTGGATTATTGTATCAAGATGCTGGGTGGTCGAGTCACTGACTTGGAGTTCATGGCTCATCGGATTGAGGCTGGAGAGACCCCTGAAGGTAGGTCTACCTTTTGTTGCACCTTGAGAATTCTGTTAACGGTTGTATAGCTGCCGTGGACCGTATCATTGAACAATCGGCGTCTGAAATTCTGAAGATCTTCATCCTCGGGACAGAGTCGACTGCACCTCAATGGACCCGTGAGCAGGCGTGGTACCTCATCAAGTCTATCGCCAATTCCAAGGATGGAAGCCTGTTATACAGCAAAGTCCTCCTCGGCGATGTATTCAAGGACAACGGCGAGGCCACTCTCCGGGCACTAGAGCAAGCAGAGCTCATCTCCATCGGAACTGACAAAGGATTCCCACGATACGTCAAGCCGGGTAAACCCGTGTATCGCGCTGCTTTCCAACGTTTAGTTGCGAACAAGACCCTTCAGGGCCGCCTTGATCTGCTAATTCTCTCACAGCTCATTGGCAACGAGAATTCAAGTATCAAGAAGTATGAGGAGGAGCTGCAGGTCCTTGGCTCGCTGCCAAAACACCCTTGGGAGCTAGCTTCACGGATTGAGTGGCTTCTGCGCAAAGTCCACGGATCGCAATCGAAGATCCTCAAGTACGAGAGTGAAAGTGCTGCCTTGTCAAAGTATCTACAGAAAGAGAATTGAGATTTTAGCCACTGCGTATCGATCTCGTCTCAATGCCACTTTATTATTGAAAACATCACTTTCAAAATTACCAGAGGTATACATGTAGATCTGTTGTCGGTCAGAGGGAAGTATAAACGCGAACCAGTTGATATCAACTTTGATCCGACTATTCATGTTGGTATTTGAGAACCCCCCCTAATTATATAGAAAGAAACCATAAGTTTATTTTGGAAATATTGAAAATCAATGGAAATCAATGAAAATCAAGAAAATGCCCCAAAAAAAAAAACCCCCCCAGGTGAGAGACCATTGAGCTTAGTAAGCTACAAAAAGACACCGGCTTCCGTTTGCCATCGTGTCCCTTTACCCTTCACTTGGATATATTTTAATCTGAAAGATCTTTGGAGATTAAATTCAATTGCCATATCCAGTCATCTCTCCTCGAGCCCTTTAGTGGGTGTTGACGCTGTGTTATCTTACGTGGCAGGGTTTGTTTTGAGCAGCATTGAATTGATCACAAATGGAGAGGTACGAAGCCTTGAGTCTTATACAGGCCGTCCGTGAGAGATATTTCGGTATAAATTGGTCAACTGTTTTTGCTGTTGTGGTGTTCGTATGCATCACAACCCGGATTACCTCGGGGCTTCAGAGTCGACGTGATGGAGATTTAAAATCACAGACGGTGCGAGTAGCACCGTATTGGTTTCCCTGGATTGGACATGGCCCTGCCTTCTTATGGAATCATGTTACCTTCTTTGCAAGAACTCGGTTGGTCTTTTACTATATTGCCCTTCTACGGTGCCTGCTAACAAGGTTATAGAGAATCTATGAATGAGCCTGTCTTTGGCATTTACATCCGCGGTGTGAAGCACAATGCTGTGACATCTCCATCTATGATGAAGACTGTTTTCTCTGCCAAAGCTGCCACGCCACGCAACCAGGTGCTCGGTCAGGCTCTGCAAAACGTCTTTGGCGACCGCAGCCTAATCCAAAAAATGGATTTGGATCGTAACCAAGGAGTTAGCGACAAGGCTTCTACCATTCTCAACGAAGAGGATTTTGTCACTGAAGCTTCGGCTACTATTACCCGTTTGGTGCAGCGTGACATGTCGAACCTGGTGAGCTTCTGCCGGAGCATTGTTGACCAATGCCCCTGGAGCGTGGAATGAGTGGAGTTGAAGTTCCCGAAGAGGACCAGACAGTCTGCGAGGCCAATTTGTTTGCACTCATGAGCAATTTCATCGGTCACATCACTTCTACTTTTCTGATGGGTGAGGCCTTTGTGGAAAATTTCCCTAATCTCTCGGAAGATCTTGGAAGAATCGACGATTGCTTTGTGACACTATTCGCCGGGACTCCTCGTCGGATCCCGCATCCAGCGGCTTCAGCAGGACATGCGGCTAGCGATCGGCTACGCCATATCTTTTCGATCTTTCATCGGGCTTTTACTGCTTGGGACGACGGGATTGACGCCGGCATCGAACTGCGTGATCTTGACGATGTGTCTGAACTGGTCAAAGATAGGATGCGGACTTTCCGAAAATTGGAACTATCGTCAGGTGCCAGTGCAGCAGGGCACTTGTCTCTGTATTATGATCTGATTGAGCACACGACCAATATCACTTTTTGGACAATTACTCATCTCTTTGCCGAACCTTCCCTTCTCGATCAAGTCCGCAAGGAGATCACCTCTTACGTGGTGGCTTCTAGACCAAGTCGCGAGGAGACAGGTTTCCCCTTCGATGAACCTCCTCGTCTCTCTCTGGATATTGAAAAGGTGCTCACATCTTGCCCGCTGTTCAAAGCGTGTTACTACGAGACTGTACGTCTTCATTCAGCAGGAATTTCATTCAAGAAGCTGGCGTCGGATCTGATACTTTCCGAGTCGGCAGAAGAAGCCGCCTATGGTCTGACGGAGCCCCGTACATACAAGATTGCAAAGGGCGAGGATATCATTGTACCCCATGGTGCTTATCACCACGATGCTCGATACTTCTCAAACCCGGAGCAGTATGATCCCCTACGATTTCTCGTGACTGACCCTGTAACGGGAAAACAACGGGCTGATCCAAGTATCCTCGCTCCCTTTGCGGACGGGTTGTATGGGTCAACAAACAATGGATTTACCGAGAGAGCCATCTTGACTTTCACTGCTGGCATTGTGGCCTTGTGGGATATTGAGCCTACAAGTGGTGAATTCCTCTCAGTTCCAAGGCACAAGACTAGCTGGGGGGCTTTCCGACCGACCAAGGAGCTGCGGGTGAAGATGAAGTTGAGGATATAGATTACATTGGAGCATTGCATTTTATCATTTTATCATTTTGTTAATAGAGAGCACTGATCATTTTAATTTTTATACACGACAGGCTCGGATAAGTGTCCGGATCGGCCTTGCGCCGATGACACCATCCACTAAGAGGGGAATATATATAAGTCACCTAATTAAGCTGTAGTCCCTCGATAGTGAATTATTATTCGGAGACAAAATGGAACAGGATCCTAATAAGGACTACGATCTCACAATCCCAATCACTTCCACATCTGGACTTCGCCAGGGTCTAACATCCTATGGAGATGCTCATTTCTCCCTCTTTCTCCGAAAAGTGTTTATCAAGGCACTCGGATATTCAGAGGATGCGCTTTCACGTCCAATCGTGGGCATTATCAACACTTTCTCAGGGTTCAATCCCTGCCATGCTAATGTGCCCCAGCTCATTGAGGCTGCCAAGCGCGGCGTGCAACTCAATGGAGGACTGGCAATAGAATTCCCCACCATTAGTGTGGCCGAATCTTTCTCACATCCGACCAGCATGTTCCTGCGCAATCTTATGAGCATGGATACGGAAGAGATGATACGGGCGCAGCCGTTGGATGCTTGTATAATGATCGGGGGTGAGTTCCAATCGCTCTATTCTACCGTTGCTTTCCTGTCATGTGAGAATAGCCACTGAGAGAACTTAGGCTGTGATAAAACCGTTCCTGCTCAGTTGATGGGTGGCATCTCTGCCAACAAGCCAATCCTACCACTCATAACCGGTCCAATGCTGCCAGGAAGCCACCGCGGCCAGCGCATTGGGGCCTGCACCGATTGCCGAAACAACTGGGCGGCCTTCCGAGCGGGTGAAATTGACGTCGAGGAAATATCGGCCATTAACGAAGAGCTTGCTCCAACCGTACGTGTAGATGGGCTTTCTGCAGACCCAGGGCCATTTAGTTCGCTAATCACAATGATTACTCGTTTAGATAGGGACATGCGGTGTTATGGGAACTGCTAGTACAATGGCTTGTGTGACTGCTGCGTTGGGAATGATGCCGCTCCGAGGTGCAACTGCACCAGCAGTATCATCCGCGAGACTGCGAATTGCCGAGGAGACTGGCGCAAATGCAGTCGCAATTGCAAAGTCTAAGAGAAAGCCACAAGAAATCTTGACAAAGGAATCATTCTGGAATGCCATCACAGTGCTTCAGGCTATCGGGGGTTCGACCAATGCCGTTGTTCATCTGCTCGCAATTGCAAATAGGCATCCAGAACTGCAGGGAGTCATCACTTTGGATACTATTGAGGAGATTGGCCGCAGAACTCCGCTGTTGATCGATCTCAAGCCGAGTGGAGATAACTATATGAATGATTTCCACAATGCAGGAGGCATGATGGCGCTGTTGCAAGTGCTTCGACCCCTGCTCCATTTATCCGCTTTGACAGTTACTGGGCAAACGCTGGGTGATGTCCTCGATGCGTCCCAATCCAAGCGACTTCTTTTTGCGCAACAGATTATTCGGCCAATTTCAGACCCTTTGTTTCCCGCGTCATCCCTGGCTGTTCTGCGTGGCAATCTTGCCCCTGATGGAGCGGTCATCAAAGCCTCAGCGTCGAAGTATTGGCACTTACTCTCGCACGCTGGACCGGCTGTAGTATTCGAGAATTCGGCTGACCTTGCTCACCGGATCGATGATCCAAACCTTGTTGTGACGAAGGATAGTGTACTGGTCCTGAAAAACATTGGTCCGGTTGGCAACCCAGGTATGCCAGAGGCCGGCCTTATACCGATTCCAAAGAAGCTAGCAGAAGAAGGAGTTAAGGATATGATACGACTTTCGGATGGTCGAATGTCAGGCACCGCGGGCGGAACCATCATCCTCCATATCTCGCCTGAAGCTGCACTGCCAGAGTCACCATTTGGCGTGGTGGAGACGGGTGACTTGATCGTTTGCGATATTGAGACTAGGAAGTTGCACTTGGAAGTTCCAGAGGCAGTATTGCAGACTCGAATCGAGAAACGCCGACAGAGCCTTGTAGAAGAGACCCAGGCAAGAAAGCAGATGAGAGGCTACCGCGGGTTGTATGAGCGATCGGTGAATCAAGCGCAAGAGGGAGCAGATTTTGATTTCTTGACAGCTGGAGGTGCCAGCACATAGAACCTAGTATTCAGATATAAATTCACTGTATGCCCTTTGGTCCCATCGAACCTTGGATTGTCTGGAGGCCCTTACCCTGAGCCCTGAGCCCTACTTTCTTGCCCGATCGGGTTAAATCAATCAAGGCGCGTAACGCGGACGCGTCCGACCTTGTATGCAGATCCCTGGCCATTTGTGATCCACCAGATTAAGATTGAACGATGCTCCAGACTTTCTAATTGCAACCTGATCGAATTATTTGCGTCAGGTCTCATTTGCAATGAGTTTCGACCCTCTTCGCCCGCGGGGGCGCCCAGCCCGTAAGTCATGCTGATTACCTGGGGAGACTACAATAATTACTGACAACGCGGCTTTCACATAGACACACCCGGCACAACGATACTGACCTACACACCTGACGGACGACGGATCATCACTGGTGGCTCCAATTCAGCAATTCGTATCTACACGGTCGGCGAAGATGGGGAGCCTAAGACTATCGACGAAGGTGTTGACGCGCATTTCGGCATTGGTGCTACGGTATGCCAGCACAGAGGACTCAGGATTAACCGAAGGAACTGACTGGATTGCTAGAATCGGTCTTTCATCATGGGTGCCGAGGATGGAACAGTCTGGAAGTACGACATTATGTCGGGCAAGATGCAAAACTTGCTTGTACGATGCGCTTTGCCGGTCAGGGACATTGCGGTGACCAGAGACGGAGAATGGGTCGCGGTAGCAAGCGAGTAAGTATCACAAGTATTGTGTTAGACAGAGCATTTGATGCTAACAGTGGTGGACTAGTGAGCTCACAGTCAAGATCGTGAAAGTCGACGACATGACGCAAGTCAAGTATCTTCGGGAACAGTCCAAGGGAACGAAACATGTCACGTTCGATCCCAGTGGCCGATATGCGACAGTATCCGGAACAGATGGAATTCTCTATATATACTCCATGCACGAAGAGGAGCCGGAGCTAGTCCGCAAACTCGATGGGGTGATTAGACGATTGGAGCCAGATGCCGAGGCGACATCGAGAGCAGTGTGGCATCCCGACGGTACTGCATTTGCTTCTGCGGAAGCGACCAAGGATATCTCTATCTACTCAACCTCGGAATGGAAGAAGGAGAAAACATTTGCTGGCGGACATACCGGCGACATTACGGCCTTGAGCTGGGCCCCGAATGGATCTCTTCTGGCATCTGCAGCGGCAGATGGATATATTGTGCTATGGGAAGCGAAGACGCAAAAGATCTTGCAGCGATACGACTTTGGAAATGTCATGAACCTATCCTGGCACCCTACCAAGAACTCCCTTTCATTCACAACTTCAGACGGAGAGCTTTTCATCTACGATAACTTTGTGCCGAAGGATCATGAGCCTCTTCTGCAGAAACCCCTGCAGGCTGCTCCTATCTTGCCCGGGCCTCTGGGCGAGATCTCCAACAACGTCGGGAGAACCACACTGGCGGAACGGTCCAAAGAGGCCATCCAGCGAGCGGCGAGAAGAGGGACTCCAGACTCGCTAGATGATATCCTTGGTGAAGATGACCAGATGATGGATTTTGTCGAGGATGATGATGGGGCTGGCTATGCCGATGAAGAGCTAAATCTGTATGGCAAGCGGCCACACGATGATCTCGATGATCTCGGCGGTAGTAACAAGCGCCTGCACTCTGGCTTTGAGAAGCCCAAGGCCCATCCACCTCTCCAACCCGGTAGCACGCCGTGGGCTGGGAGTAGGAGATATCTCTGTATGTTCTCGTTCCAGTTTCATTGAAATGGATTTGCTAACATGGCCAGGCCTGAACTTGACGGGAGCTGTCTGGACGGTGGACCAGGAGACACATCACACCGTTACTGTGGAATTTTATGACCGAGAAGCTCATCGGGACTTCCACTTCACTGATCCATATATGTATGACAAGGCTTGTCTGAGTGAGTCTTTTCCGCCTTTCTCGCCTTTTTGTATTGGATTTTCGGCTGATCAAGTATAGATGACAACGGGACACTTTTTGCCAATAACCCTTCGGATGGTAGTCCGGCCACTATCTTCTACCGGCCACATGAGACGTGGACTGCGCGAGCAGACTGGCGGACTGAACTGCCCGAGGGAGAACAAATTCGAGGTAAGACTTCAAAGGTATATAGTCGACCTAATCATCTTACTGATGCTCGTTATCAGCTCTGGCACTCAGCGATTCATACATTGTCGCTGTGACGTCGAAGGACTATGTTCGAGTGTACACTCTCTTTGGAACTCCTTTCAAGGTGTATCGACAGAAGAGCCAAGCCGTAACTTGCGCGGCGTGGCGGGACTACATTATGAGTATCGGAAACGGCCCTATAGGGATTGATGGCCACACGACCTTACGATACACGGTGGAGAATGTCAAGCGCGACGAGATTTGCCAAAATGAAGACACTGTCGCCCTTCCGGAAGCGGCTTCGCTGCAGAGTGTGTTCTTCTCCGATAATGGGGTAAGTGCCATCCACATAGAAGAGTTGGATATGGAATTGACCGCCTTTTTAGGATCCTTGTATCTATGATTCGACTGGCGTCCTACTGATTCTGCAACACTGGCGCGCACCCGGCCAAGCGCGATGGGTACCACTCCTGGACACGAAGCGACTGGCACGTCTCGCGGGAGGACGGAAAGAAGAAACATACTGGCCAGTGGCTGTCGCACAGGACAAGTTCCACTGTATCATTCTCAAGGGTGGCGACAAGAATCCTTACTTCCCGCGGCCGTTGCTCAGTGAATTCGATTTCCAGATCCCGGTTGCCACCGCTCTTCCGAAGGATTCCAGCGAATCTGAAGACACAGCAGCCGATGGTGCCCGTTTCGAAGAATCATTCGTACGTGGAAACGTACTTTTGTCGCTCTT